GGAACGGTATAGGGTTTCCTCCCTAGGCAGGGGGTTGGACTAGAAGACCTCCAAGGTCCCTTCCTATTGTATTATAAACTGCACCAGATTGGTTAGTACTTGGGCAGATCCCAGCACTAATAAACTAGACAGGGAAGTTTAAAAAAAAAACTCAGAGTCACTGTCCAACTACTTTCATATGATTGTCCCACCACCACCACTGCACAAATCAACATGGTTTGCCTATGTAATCATCAGAAGTCAAGCTCAGCTCAAACAATGCAACACCTTTTTAAATCTTCTAATTTCTAATCGGATGGTACAAGGACTGTGGAGAAGGGATGAGTAAGGCAGTGCCCTGGTTTTCTCAGGTTTGATCAGTTTTAGAAGTGGTGCTAAGGGTTGAAGCTGAGCTTCAAGCCAGAGCAAGCTGTGGGGTAAACCTCAAAAAAATACATTCCGGTGTCAAGACTGGAAAATTTGGAAAGGGGGAAGGGAGGCTAGGGGTCTTAAGCCAGTGTTTCCCAATCTTGACCACTTGAAGATGTCTGGTCTTCAACTCGGAATACTGCACCCAATTTTGGTCACCACATTATAAAAAAAGATCTAGAAATTCTGGAAAGAATGCAGAGAAGAGCAACAAAGATGATTAGGGGCCTGGAGGCTAAAACGTATGAAGAACAGTTGCAGGAACTGGGTATGTCTAGTTTAATGAAAAGAAGGACTAGGGGAGACATGATACCGTAGCAGTGTTCCAATATTATATAGGGCAGTGATGGCTAACCTTTTTGGCATCAAGTGCTGAAAGCATGCATGCGCACATCCATGATGCAATGCACACACGTGCCCCATCCCCCTGCATGCGTGCACAACCCTTCCGTGCACCACCTGCCCCAATGCATGCACCCCACACGTCTCCTGCATGTGCCCCGCCCACGCACGGCAAAGACCTGAAAATCAGCTGGCCAGCTGGAGGCATGTGTGCATGCGTGACAGAACTGAACTGGGGTGATGGCTCGTGTGCCCACAGAGATGGCTCTGTTTGCCATAGGTTAACCATCACGGGTATAGGATCTCTGTTTGAGCAGGGGCTTGGACTAGAAGATATCCGAGGACCCTTCTTCTTTTTCTTGTGCCATATACGTCATTGGACGTTGGCGGTCATGTTGGTGATCCTATTTTATCAACAGCTGCACCAAAATCTGCTGTTGAGTGTTGTCCAAACCAGTCCCTTAGATTTTGAAGCCAGGATGTTCTTCTTCTGCCTTCAATCTTTCCTTGGAAGGGTTAAGTATGGCGTATTTTTCATCATGTCTCCAAAATATTCTAACTTTTGCTTTTTTATGGTTTTGATGATTTCCATTGGCTTTCCTCGGCGGCTTACCCAGGCAGCAGCCCTTACAACCTTTACCACTCTGTTATTGTCTTATCCTGCAAACAGAGTTTTCCTTTTTCTCCCAGGAACCACCTTTGCAGTGGGTACAAATCAGCACACTTCCCAGATCATTTAGCTCAGTGTTTCTCAATCTCAGCAACTTTAACACCCATGGACTTCGACTCCCAGAATTCCCCAGCCAGCTGTAGTCACATAGATCAGCATGGCATTCCTCAGCTGCAATTACATCTCACTACTGAGCACAACATGTCTTTCACTGTGTAAATTATTCCTCTTTCTTTATTCTCGAATGTAAACTTGGAAATAGTCTTCAGTTGGCCTTGGGGACTAATAATTGGCAGTATAAAATCTGCTCCTGCCAGGGTTAGTTCTAAGATTTTGCAGAATTTTCTCCCTATGGTTTAGTGTCCAATATTTTTATAAGTATGAAAACCTGTTAAAGCCACACTTTTTCAGCAAATGCCTCTGGCTTCCAATCTACCTTTTAATTATATTATCTACTGCTCTGGAGCATCCATTATATCTATATGTTCATCAACCATCTATCCTCCTCCTCTCTTTCTCTTTACCTTACAGTATCTCTTTATACTGATGAAGATTCGGGAAACTAAGGTGTGTCTTGAAAAGCGCGACTTTTCAGCCATTATATCACTAACCCAAAATGAAAATGGTGATTTCAAAATCCCTTTTCTCACATTAGCACGTGCTGCGGTGTTTTGAACTGTCAGTTTTTGGTAAAATAGCATATTATGAAGAACGGTTGGAGGAATTGGATATGTCTAATTTAATTAAAAGAAGGACATGATAGCAGTGTTCCAATATCTCAGGGGCAGCCACAAAGAAGAGGGAGTCAAGCTATTCTCCAAGGCACCTGAGGGTAGAACAAGAAGCAATGGGGGGAAACTAATCAAGGAGAGAAGCAACTTAGAACTGAGGAGAAATTTCCCGACAGTTAGAACAATTAATCAGTGGAACGGCTTGCCTCCAGAAGTTGTGAAAGCCTCAAAACTGGAAGTTTTTAAGATGTTGGATAACAGTTTGTCTGAAATGGTGTAGGGCAGTGATGGCAAACCTTTTTTCCCCTCGGGTGCCAAAAGCACATGCGTGTGCATGCCCATATCCACAATTTAATGCCCCTCACGCCTTTCCCTCTGCACATGTGTGCATGACACACACACACCACTGTCCCGCTCCTGGAGGCCCTTCGGAGAATGGAAACAGCCCGTTTTCCAATTTCTGGTGGGCCCGGTAGGCCTGTTTTTCGCCCTCCCCAGGCTCCAGAGGCTTTGCTGGAGCCTGAGGAAGGAGAAAACGGCCTCCCCCGTTCCCCCCCGGAGGCCTTCCAGAGCTGGAAACACCATCCTAGAGCTTGGTCCAAGCTCTGTACTTACCTGCCATCCAAAACGGGCTGTGTGGAAACTCCTGTGAGGGGAGGGGCAGCGTGGGCGGGCCAGGTGAAAATCAACACGTGTGTGCTGGAGCCGAGCTACGGCAGGGGTCGGCAATCTTAAACACTCAAAGAGCCATTTGGACCCGTTTCCCACACAAACGAAAACACCGGGAGCCACAAAACCCTTCCCGTGCCTGACCATTTCCTGAACGCCCACAAAACTAGCACATGTATTTGAATCGAAGGTTCTGTTTTCTTCTGAAACTTTTCTTTTTCTTGGATTTATCCATGGTTGGCCTACTGGGGGTCGAAAAGCTCAATCAACCGAGTGCTGCTGGGTGTCGCATATTGGCGGTTGTGGCACATATTTTGAGCAGCAGGGAGCCACAGCAGAGGGATGAAAGAGCCGCATGTGGCTCCAGAGCCACAGATTGCTGAACCCTGAGCTAGGGCAATGGCTCATGTGTCTCCCCGCAGATATGGCTCTGTGTGCCACTTGTGGCGCACTGATGTGTCCTTGGAGATACAACTGGGGTCTGTAAGGAAGAACCCTCTTTTCCTGTCAAAAGAGACTTCCACGAGATCATTAGCTTGAATGAAGCACTCGAAGCATTCGTGGAAAGCTTCCCAAGACTCCTTGTTGACGGTAGCCATCGTAGGAATCATACGTGGGTCAGCTCAAAACACCTTCGTCACCAGTTTTATGTTTCTAGCTCCGTATTAAAAGAGATCAGAAAAACGTTGGCTGAATACAGAACGATTTATTAACAGGTTAACTATCAACATCAGAACAACAACAAACCCCAGTCTGACAGCTATTTTTACAGTAGCTGTCAGGCGGGGAACCAATTGGCGGGTTGTGATTTTCCCGCCAGCTGGCAGGCATGTCGCAACCAATCAGAACACTCTCAGTATTTCTTGACAGGCGCCAGACGTATCTCCGAGGACACAGCACACACGTGCTATAGGTTCGCCATCATGGATATAAGGCCTCCTGTTTGAGAAGGGGCTTGACTAGAAGACCCCCAAGACTTTCCACCACTGTTATTCTATTCTGTTGCAAAGTTTTTTATTTTTCATTTTCATAGCATATAAGCACATGTATACTATTACATAACCAACATCGTATTGTATTATTAAATGTATACATCAATTCATCTTACCATCAACTCACCATAAGAAAAAAAAAACCCGGACTTCCGGGGAGTGGCCTGTCGCCGGTCGGCAGCTTAACAGAGCTGCCCCCAGAATTCAGGTTCGTTATCTGCTCAATATC